GCCACATATAAATAAATAACTGCTGAAATAACAATATTTATTTATCTACTTTGAATTCCACAACACATCAGTTAGAATGAACAACTACAACTACAACTGTGGACAGTGTTTCTGGAATATTTACCTTAAAAGGAAAGAAAACTGCACATGAGAATAATGTAAATAGAAATTTGGAATGCCGCTTTGATTCGATTACGGTTACGTTTTCACAGTGTCAGAGTATTTTTTTACAGATTTGTTGAATTAAACCTAGCAGCATAAAAGCAATACAGAATTAGTGATGAACAGGACATTATAAAGTTATTAACTGGCTGCAACATTGTTATCATTTTCTGATGATACTGAAGAAACAAGTCATACTTAATGTTGGAATTAGGAGATACATTATTCATGCCAAAAATAAAGTAATGTGGACCAACAGCATAGTTGATAATTGAGAGCGAATAATTGGCTGGTCTAGTATCAATAGAAATTAGATTAAAATTACTCTTTCAAAATTGAAATATATGGTTTGAAATTAAACAGGATATGCTATTCATGCATTTTTTGTATCCAAACTGAATTTCTTTTTATCCAGGCTCATGTACAGAGATATAATAGTAGTATGGTCAAAAAGCAAGATTGCAAGCAGTCACCTATCTTTGATCTGATTGTGAAACTAATCATCATGGACATGTATCTCAACATGTACAATGTTTGTATTAAATTTAAATGAAAACCGACAAATTCTGTCTAAGATATAGTAATATAGTCAAAAAGCAAGATGGCCACCAGTCAGCCATCTTTGATCTGCTTATGGAACAAACTGACATGGACATGTATTCCAATATGTATGATGTATATGCCAAATATGAATGAAAATTTCCTTAAGCCTTGGTGATATAGTAAAATGCTCAAAAAGCCAGATGGTCGCCAGTCGGCCAGTTTGATCCGATTTGAAAAACAAATAGTCATGGACATATAATTTGAAATGTATGTACAAAATTTAAACAAAAACTGACAAAGCATGCATAAGATACCATATTTTCAACAACAAAAAATAGCTGCCAGTCAAATCGTCATAGACATGTATCCTAACATGTACAAATTTAATTCTGCAGTTCCTCAGTCTATGAAAAGGTCAGGTCAGATATAGGTAAAAGATAACTGTTTCAGATGTGGTGGTTTATTTTGGCATACAGGTTCCGTCAAGCAAAAAATAAAATATGCAGGAAGTGTCAAAAAAAAGGACATTTCACCAAGAAATGTAGAAGTAGAATTACAAGAAAATGAAATATTGCTGAAAATACACAGCATAAGGTACAGTTAAAGAATACTTGTACCTGGTGACCCCTTTTTTTAGTGATGTACATCTACATGTACATACTGAAAGTTTTGTTCATGAACAAGAGATAACATGCTTGATTGATTCTGGAGCAGGTGTCAATATACTGGATGAAAAGAAACTTCAGCAAATAAATGAGGTTTATTTACAACCCACAGCAAAGAAAATATTTGTGTACAACTCGAAAAGAAATCATTATCAGTTGATGAAATTAGAAAATCCATGCATTCTTGCCAAAATTAGCCAATAGCAAATGGAGAAGTTAAGAAAGCAGCATGTAAAGCAGCCTTAGAGACAAACCAGATTGTTGAAATTTCAAAGAACTCCAAATGCAATAGAGGATGTACCGGTATATACAAACTGTAACATCAATTTCAATCAATCCACATCAACAAGAATTACACATCACCCACATTAACCAAATTATTTTATTATGTTAGAAATAAACTTGTTAAACTCTTTTTTTTTTATGAGTTAACCTTGAATTTTCCACATATTTAAAAGAAAATGTTATACTTGTTTATTTTAATTCAATAATTCCACTGATTGGTATGACAAGAAAATGATGGGGAATATCTCACCAGTATTTACAGATAATAGTGTGAATGTTGTCATTGTTATGATACAAACATTATGGGAAATATATCACCACTACCGGTACTCATTGTGGGATTTTACGATACATACATGTCCAATTTTCTGAAATCTGAGCCATTGCTACCGATATACATTGCTGCATGTACATTTGTACCTGACTGTCTGTCCGATCAGTTAAAAATAAACAATCCAGTTAAGAAACCATAATGCAGTGTTGAAAGACCAAGATGCATGTTATTATTATCACACGGTTATACTTTCAACCAATAAGCAAAAACCACCTGTAATCTAACTATATTATGTCAGTTTTTTAGCAAAGCATGAGTTCTGATGGACCCTTTATGTGAATGGAAAGGTACACTCACCTTATCAGTTACAGTACTGGGCTTCATAAGATTGTCAGCAAATCCATCCAACACAGTGCGTTGTTTTTGAAGTCTGTGTTTTTTTGCTTCCAAAGCCTTCTTCTCTTTCTGCAAGTCAGCTAGTTTGACCTTATAATGTGAAACTCTGTCATCATTTTTGGTGTCAGCAGTGCTTACATACTTACTGTTATAGGTCACTTCATTTATCACCGCTGCACCTTTACCCTCAACTCTGTAATGGAAACAGGTCATTGTCAAAACTTTGCTTGTATCTAATTCCTGCTACAAGTTTTAAAACAATGACATGATTGTCATGCTAGATAAGGGTATAGACCAAAAAATTGAATGCAATTTAAGTTCCAACATAATTGATGACATTCTGCACATGCACAGGCTAGCAGAGCAATGATTCATGGCAGAATAGAATAAAACTATCATTGTAGACATCCAGTTTGCAGGTCTTTGGTCATTAGTTATTCGGTATGTCATATCTGGTTTTGTTGGAATTTAAAATATTTTATTTTGTAATAAACAACATTTTTGCACAGTACTCATGCTGCTGTGTGTATTTACAAATACGCTCGTTTCTTTTTGGAGACCATACATTGAAAACAGAAAATAGGAAAATTCAATGATTCTGTTTTGGATACCCTGGAGAAAACAGACAATGGGAACCATTTGTTTCTGTTTTGGATACCCTGGAAAAAACAGACAATAGAAACCCTTGTTTCTGTTTTGGATACCCTGGAAAAAAACAGACAATAGAAACCCTTGTTGGGAAACCCTGGAGCAAACAGACATTTAATAGGGATGCTCATTTTGGGGGTGAGGGTGAAGAAAACAGACAATAGGAATGCTTTTTTCTGAGAAAAGTAACAATATACAAACGCTTGTTTCTTTTTGGATACTCAAGAGGAAAATAGGGAATAGAAATGTTTTGGGGGGCTGGTGAAAACTAAAAATAGGATTGCTTGTTTCAGTTTTAAATATCCTTTAG